GCCTCCTGAAGCTGAGAACAGTAAAAAAGTTATGTTAAGCATACATGAAGGGTAAACAGGACAAGTGAAGGTTGTGAGGGTCAGGTTTTGCTTACAGTTGAAAACGACTGAGTATTGCACTTCTAATGAAAATTTATAAGAATGGCAGCAGTGAGCAACCAGCATGGCTTAGGAAAAGGTATCAGTTAATTATAATACATTTCTGTTTTACCAAAAGCACTAAGCAGTGAATACAACCAATGCCTTTGCCTTACCTCCTCATCTGAATCCTGTGCAGAGTCCTCTGAGTGATAGCCTTCCATTTCAGAGTCATCGTCCATGAGATCCATTGTGCTTGCTAATGATAAAAGTGATGTCTGAGGAAACATCAATACAAATGATAAATAAACACCATGCACTTAGTGACATTTAACAGCTTTACAGGTTATACCAAGAAAAATTAGCCACTTAGTCACCTAGGGCTTAAGAATTCAACTTCCAAATTATTGTTCATCTATCTTAATAATGAAAGAACTTGAAAACTCATCTACGGCAGCAGCTAGGTAACACATCATGATTCATGAAGAACTTGGTGAAGTGCTTATTGCTGCCTTTTCTGTAATTATGCTACCAACCTGCTGGAATTATCAACCTTTTGGTTTTATCAGCAAACTTATAAATGAGTGGCAGAATTGGCAGTATACTGGTGATGAAAATTCTACCAACAATTATGGTCATATTATATGCTGATGAAGCCAGATGTGCACAGGTCCCAGATAACCAATTACAACAGTCAAGATGACCATTATATAAGTGTTATTCAAGCATCAAATTATTGTACAAATCACTGCTCATAAACTTTCCAAATGACTGAAAATGCTCGCATTCCTTCGGAGTTGCAAGATCTAGGAAAATCCTACAAGATGCAGCACAGATAAAAATATCAGATTATGGTGGTGGTAGCATGGCGGCAGTTGCTGCTGGGGTGGTGCGGGTGGGCACGCAGTCGGGCGGTGACCCGAGTCAGGTGATTGCCTAGTACCTACGTAAGCCGAGAGGTACTGCAACATAAATAAACCCTTTTTGCACCAATCGGCAATCATTGTTTTGTATGTGTCCTTATTAATGGAATAAATCTATTCTATCCTATAAGCTCATGGATCCGAGCTGGAAACCGCGGGATTCTCTGAGAGGTGAGAACTATCAACTCTGAAGGAATGGGTATATGTCAAGTTTAGGTCCTAACTACAATTGAAGGAATGCAAGGATGCTACTTCATTTGAAGGGTTAATACCTTACCTTACCTTTCGGTAACGGGATTTTTTAGGCTGTAAGGCCTGTAGGACCCGATCTTGGCGAGCTCCTGGTGTCAAGCATAGCTCAGTCTGTGTTAGAGGTGGCAAAAGATGAAAATTTTGGGAACCAGACTCGAACCAGACCCGGCTGGACATTTCTGGAACCAGTCGGACCCGGTCTTAGTTGGAACCGGAACCAGTTGGACCCGTTCCCCAAAAGTCAATTAATACCAACTACTTGTAGGTATCATTAGTTGCATCATGTAGAACAGCCTATTTCCCACTGGGAATACTCATGAGCTACTGTGTGTAAAGAAACATTCACTTCATTCACTTCATATTTTGCAATAATGTGTAGTGTGCAAGATGTGTAGTTTATGGTAGGACCCGGTTGGACCCGTCATAAAATTTCCAGGAACCGGTCTGGACCCATATGGGTCCAGACTGGTTCTTTGGACCGGGTCCTCGGGTCCACATTTTGCCACCTCTAGTCTGTGTCGTGTATGGTAAACGTGATTGACGACCAGTGCGCATCGAGTCTTGCCTTGAAGACGTTCAGGGATGGTGCACAGGCAACCTCAGCTGGCAGCCCGTTCCAGTCATTTATCACCCGGGAAGCGAAGGCATTTCTCCGAGCGCGGGATGCAGCCGGAAACTTCATGAGCTTCAACGAGTGGCCTCTTGTAGTAGTGTTTCCCGGCTTGAAGAAACTGCCTGCCTCAATGTCCATACCACTGTGCAGGAGTTGATACGTTGCTATCATATCACCTCTTCTGCGCCTGTAGTAGAGGGACGGGAGGTTCAAGCAATGCAGGCGTTCTTCGTACGGTTTGCCGCGGATGTTGGTAACCAGCCGAGTGGCTCTTCTCTGCACGCGCTCGACCAGACGCTGGTCGTGTCTGTTGAAAGGGCCCCATATTAGGTTGCCGTATTCGAGGTGAGGACGTACCAGCGTCTTGTAAAGTAATGGGAGCGTGGTCTCGTCAAGGAGAGCAAACGTTCGTCGGATGACTGCTAGGATCTGGGTCGCTTTAGCGACAGCAGAGGCCGCGTGCTCTCGGAACTTCAGTTCGGAGTTGATTTGTACTCCGAGGTCTTTCTCGATAGTGCAGCTGGCTAGAGCCTAGAGGGGCGCAGTCAAAGGTGAACTCAAATTCGCAGTTTGAGTGGCCGATGTGGAGGACCTTGCACTTGCCTTTGTTCAAGGGCATCAGCCAGGTGTTTGACCACCTAGCGATTTCATTCAGATCAGCCTGGAGGCGGTCAGCGTCGGCTCTGGTTCGGACCCCAGCGTAAAGCTTGGTGTCATCGGCAAACATCTTGATGTCACACTGGATCCGGTCCGGCAGGTCATTGACGTAGATGAGGAACAGCAGAGGGCCGAGTACTGAGCCCTGAGGGACTCCGCTGGTCACATCCGACCACTCTGAGTGTCTACCCTCGAGTATCACCTGCTGTTTCCTACCCGTCAAGAATGACCTAATCCAGGCTAAGAGCTTGCCAGTGAAGCCATAGGCCTCTAACTTGACCAAAAGTCTCTGGTGGGGGACCGAATCAAAGGCCTTTTGGAAGTCAAGGTAGATAGCGTCCACGGGTTTTCCATCGTCCAGATCTCTTGTCCATGAGTCCAACACTTCCAGCAGCTGAGTCACGCATGATCTCCCAGGGCGGAAACCGTGTTGGTGGCTGGAGATCAAACCGTGATCGGAAATAATTAATAAGTAATGATTTACATAAATATTTCATGCTTGAAGACTATTAATCTGATGGACATATAAATTTTTGTGTTTAGTTTTTAGGGTTTTAAGGTTTTGTTTAGTTTAGTAAGGTAAGGTAAGGTAGTTGTATTGGATCCCTGCATGTCTGGCTGAAACCATATCATTTCATTCATGAATAGAAGAATACCTAACTTAAAATCATGTATGTCACACTGTTTGAAATGTTGAGTTTAAATGTATAACCCATGTTTTCACATAAATGAAGCACAGTTTTGACCACTGTTTTGACAAAGAAAACAAAAATATTAGGCACCCCTTGTCAGAATCCTGGCGATGCATGCAACGTTGCCCGGACTAGTTTGAGTTGTATAAGAAATTAATTTACCTCAACCTCAGAAAACGTTGACCGTCAGAAGCTGATAAACTTCTTCTCAATATAAATTATAAAATCTGCAGCACACAGTTCAAGATTTTCTTACGGAGTTACGAATATTTCAATTTGAATTTTTACTTTCAAAACACACGCAGTGTTGCCAGGTCGAGTGATGCCAATACCTCCAGAAAATGTTGTAAAAACCTCTAGAAACCTCTGTTCCATTGCCGCTGATTATAAAGTATATATACCTACCTCCATACCTACCTCCGTATCACAAACCGTGGCGCCGTTTCAAAGCACGCTGCCATCCGCTGCTAGCGCGTGATGACATCATCAAGCCCATTGCTCCAACACTACCAAAGGGTCTGTTCCAGTCGCACTTCCTAACACCTCTAAACTCCTCCAAGATTGCTTCCCTGTTCCAGTGTCAGCTCTAGCCCCTACAAATCAAAGGAGGGCCCTGCTCCAACCTCCTCTATCTTGCCCTTGGAGGAGTTTAGATGTGTTAGGAAGTGGGACTGGAACAGACCCAAAGTGTGACGTCAGCGCGCTGGCAGCAGCTGGCAGTGGGCTTGGAAACACCCGGTTGTATCCCCAATCAAGATAATTCACTCATCCTTCGCATGCCTTTGCATTTGTCCACATAACATAACTTGGTGGACTTGGTGCCCACCGTGGGCACCAGGTTTGCATAGCCTTGGTGCCCACGGTATATCGAGAACTTTTAGCTGCAGCCGGCGGCCAGAGCCTCAATAGTGAACAAGCCAAAAGTAGGCTTATCGTTTCCATCAATCTGTAAAAAAAAGTGTGTTTAAGCATGCAATACTTAAAGATAATAACATGAAATTAAGTACCTAAATAGTTCTCAAGAGACCTTGATGCTAATTGTCTTTTCTGGGATTTTCAGATTACCTCTAGAAAACCCTCTAGAATCCGGCATTTTTCAAAAACCTCCAGGAGCCCCGAAACGCTCCCCTAAAACCTCTAGATCTGGAGGTTTACCTCTAGACCTGGCAACACTGAACACACGCATGCTTCGCCGAAGGCTCAAGATCATTTGTCGCAATTGTAACGGCAGTTTCGCCAGATCTGGCGCAGCTGTGACATAAATTTAGCATTAACTTGATGCAAAATTTCAGAAGTGACTACAGTGCTGCTGAATTCAGTCGACAGCTTCGCTACCGCTTTTCGAGAATCGAGATCTTGCATTTCAGAGAAGTTATTTGAGACATAAAGGCTAGGAAGATAAGTACAATACCCAGCAGATCAAAAGTGTCAAGGAACGGAAAACATCGAGTGAAATGCTCTCAGACGACCTCGAAATGCATCGGACCATATAAGCATAGGCGGTGGAACGGGGAGGGCACCGGGGCAACGTGCCCCCCTTTCATTTTGGCATTTTAACCTTAGCCCTATGGGCGTTGCATGGAAAGAATGGGACCAAAAGTCGGCAGTGCCCCCCCCCCCCCCACCCTAATTAAACGCGTTCTGCCGCTGCTGACCATAAGTGCCCTTCCTGATATGTCCTTACACAGTCTCATTCTCCACGATTTTCTGACATCCTTCCTTCAATCGAAGAAATGCAAACGCGAAACACCTCCTCACAACGGACAACCTTTCTTAAACAAAAGCTACAAAGGTTTCTCGTTTATTATGCAACAGACTGCCGTTCAGAAGCAGGAGAGCCGCCAGCCGACGCATCATATTTGGCTGCAGGCGACGGATGCGCCGAGAGAAAAATCCATAACTATGCCATCGATTTGAGAAGCTACATGAGCATCTATTGGAAAAAATACACTTCTCATGCTCGAGTCGCGTCTTTCATCAGGCACATATACTGCATGGTATATGAATCAATCCTATGGATTCGGAGAACGTCCGACAGCGAAACTGCTTGGGCCTCGCTGGCGGAGGCTGCCACAGTGTCCGGGTACACAGATCGGGCGTCCAATAGGAACCAGACACGACCAGAGATTAAAATCAAATGATCACAATCATCGCAATAGACACACTGCACAGTACACAATAACGCACAGGATTCACGCTGCCACAAAAGTTCTCACGTACCAAAAGCTGTATAATATCACACACAGACTAGCCGCCGGTGCCGCCTCATATTCACGTTCCGAGCGCCGCCGACTTGCGTTTGCGTTTCTCGGTGTTGTCGCCAGGGGCGCTGGGGATGGCGCGCGCCGCGCCGCCCGGCGGGCTGTAGTTGAACGGCGGGATGACGGCGGTGGCGTTGGGCCGCGCCTCGGTGGGCGACTGGGCGGGGGAGCCGACCCGCCGCCAGCCCTGCGGCGTGAACACCATCCGGGAGCGCGGCGCGGCGCCCTCAGTCAGCGCCGAGCCGGTGCGCGCCGGCTCCAGCGGCCGGTTGGCGTTGGCGTCGCCGGCCACCGGTTTGATCCAGACGCGGCCGTCGTGCCCGGCGCCGGGCGAGTGCAGCTGCTGCTGCTGCTCCTGGCGCGCCCGGCTCGCCTCGATACGGCGCCACAGCGCGGCGATCTTCCCGGAGGACTCGGCCGCCAGCGGGCCGCCGCCGCCGCCGCCGGCGGCAGAGGTGGTGGAGCTGACGCTCGAGTTACTGGCGCTCCGCTCACCCCGGGTCGGAGTCCGGCCGCCGCCCAGACTGGAGTTGCTGGCGCTCTGGCGCAGCGCCCGGCCGCGGCGCGGGGAGGTCGGCCGCTGGCGGCGCGCGCCCGGGCTCTGACTGGCGCAGCGCACCTTCAGAGACAGCGTGCTCTCGTAGCTGGGCGACTTCGGGATGCGCGAGCGGGCCGCCGACAGCGCCTGTCCGCTGTGTGACTTGGGCGGCGGCCGGGTGCCCGACGGCGGCCTGCTCAGCTGCGCAGACAGCGCGCGCGCGATCTTACCGCCGCGCGTGGGCGCCGGCGGGGGGACTCTGGGTTTGGCGGTGCCTCCCTCCGCCTCCGCCTCTGCCTCGGCCACCGTCTGCTCCTGAGTGGGTTCGTCCAGCGTGAAGGTGCCCTGCTTCTTCAGCTGCGCCGGCGGCTGGGGCGGGGCCGGCTCGGCCGCGGCCGGCGGCGCCGCGCCCACCGGGGTGGTCGCTGCCGGCGGCTGCCTCTTCACCGGAGTGGACGTGACGGACCTGGCGGGCCGGACGGCGCCCACCCAGGCCGGCCGCTGGATCCGGGAGGTGGCGCTGGCCACCGGTACCGACACGGGCCGTTTGGCGGCCGTCCGCCCGGCGGCCGGAGCCGCGGAGGGCGTGGACGCCGGCCGCGGCAGCTCGCGGCTCACCACGCCCGCCTTGCCGGCCGAGCCGAACCGGCGCAGACCCAACTGCGGGCTCGAGGTGGCGCTGTTGGCCGGACTCGGGGTGGCCGAGCGGGAGACCCTGGCCAGCGGACTGCCGGCACCGGCCACCGCCGAGCCGCTGATCACCTTACGGAGCTGGGTGGTCTTGGTGCCTCTCACTGGACACACGGCCGGAGAGCTGGCGGAGCTCGGCCGAACAGCCGACACCTTCGGCTTCACCGCCGCCTTGGCCGGCGTGGCAGGAGCGTCCCGCTTGGACGCGTCCGCCCGCCGCGGCGCCGAGTAGAGCGGCTTCCTCTTGCCGCGGATGCCCTTGGGCTGCTCTGATTCATCCTCCGGCGGCTCCTTGCGTGTCTCCTCCCCCGGTTTGACGATCCGCGGCCGCAGTTTGACGGGCGAGCTGTCGGTCGGCTCCGAGCTCAGCTCCGGCTCCTCGGCCTCTGCCGGCGGCGCCAGCACGGGAGCCGGAGCCGCAGCCGGAGCCGGAGCCGGGGCGGACGCCAAGACCGGCACCGGGATCCGGCGGACCAGCGGCGGCGGCACCGGCGGAAAGTGGGGCAGAGGCGCGCTGGCCGGGTCCCCGTGCAGCCCGCTGCCGCGGCCGGCCGACTGCAGGCAGGCGATGGCGCGCTGCGCCTCGGCCGCCAGCTGGCGCAGGTCGCGCCGGCCGGACGGCGGCGCCGGACGCTGCAGCGCCTCCTGCGCCAGCTGCCGGATGTCCAGCCGCGGCGCCGGGGACGGCGGCGAGGGCGTGTCGTCGGCCGACGGCCGCTGCAGGTCGTCCGAGCCGCTCTCCACCGTCTGGGTGCGGTACCGGTCGCGGTCCTCCTGGCGCCGCTGCCGACACGTGCGCCGCGCCCGCGTCGAGCCGGACGCCGCCGCCGAGCTGACTCCGGGCGCTGACGCCGAGGCGCGCAGCGTCTCGTCTGTCTCGGTGGCGGCGGACTCGGTGCCGGGGGTGAGCGTCAGTGTCAGGTCGGCGCTGCTCAGGTCCTCGGAGCCGGCGCCGCGCGTGAACGTGCGGTAGCGCTCGTCGGAGCGGCGCCGGCGCGGGTGCGGCGTGCGCCGGCGCACCAGTGGCGAGCTCTCCGGGGTGGAGTCGCGCGGCAGCTCGGGCGGGTCCAGCGGCAGGTCCTCCTGCGCGCACATCTCCGTGTCGCTGCCCAGCGTCTCGGAGCCGGGCCCGGCGCCGCCCAGCGTCGAGTCGCACCGCTCGGTGGGCTCTCCAAGCTCGTGGAACAGCGACGGCGGCTCCAGGGAGGCCAGACTGTCGGCCGGCGCGGCGCGCGGCTCGGCCACCTCCGAGCGCAGGCTCTCCAAGCTCAACATGCTGTTCTCCATGTCCAGCTCCTCCATGAAGGAGGGCGGCTTGACCAGCTCCAAGTTGGACTGGCAGCTGCTGAGACTGCTCAGGCCCTCGGCCGACTCCTGCATGCCTCCCTGTGTGGCGCCGCCGCCGCCGCCGCCGCCTCCGCCGCCCAGCGCCCGGCGCATCATCTCCGGGACGAAGCGGCTGGCGGCGGACGGCCGTCGCGGCAGCAGCGGCGAGCGGCCGTTACTCAGCGAGCCGCTCGACGGGAAGCCGTTGAACGAGGCGCCGCTGTCCATCATGGACGGCGGCCCGACGCCCTCCAGCAGCTCCAGACTGCTGGTCAGGTCGGAGCTCTGCGCCATCACCGCGTGGGACATCTCCAGCGCGGCGGCCACCGCCGACGCGTCGCGCGCCACCCGCTGAGAGGTGGTCATACAGTCGGGCTCGGCGGCCAGCGTCGGTACCGGCACCGGCGGCGGGCCGGCCGACCGCGGCGCCGCGCCCACCAGGGAGACGCTCCGCTCCGAGACGGTCAGGGAGAGCGAGGAGGCGGCCGTCACCTGCACCTCGACGGGCGGCGGCGGTGAGGGCGAGCTCCGCGCCGGCTCCTCCTCCTCCTCCTCCTCCTCCTCTCCCTCACTCTCCTCGGAGGGGGTCCGGGTGACGCCGAGCGGCACGGGCGAGCGGCGGCGCCGGCCGCGCCGCGGGCGCCGCAGGCAGCTGCCCTCGGAGCGGCTCTTGGGCAGCGCGGCGCGTAGGCAGCGCTCCAGCAGGCGGGCGTCGGGCTCGTCGCCGCTGCTGGAGGCCTCGCCGTCGGAGCGCGTCTCCAGGGAGCCGACTGAACTGCTGCGGGAGAGCGGCGTGCCGTCGGCAGACATCAGACGGGTGCCCCAGCCGCCGCCGCCGCCGCCGCGACCGGCCTCCGCCGCGCCTGGGGACGAACAGAGGAGCGTCAAAACGGGACTTCAGTTCGTCGAAACGACCAGGCATCGAGTGCAAGGTGCTGTCCGCTACATGAATTCCTTTTCAGACACATTGATTGGAATCCACCTTTCTTTTATCAGGCGCGAGTTTTTTTTCAGTGATAGTAGCGATAAGCTGGATAGCTTAGTGACAGCTTTGGAGATCGCAACAAGTGAGTTCGGGCATGAAGATCAAAGTAACTATGCTAAATCGGAGCCACGGACCGCGCCCGTTCCCGCGGTGACTCCGTCGCCCTGCCTCCCACCCACCTCGGCCGGTGCCGGCGTTGGCCAGCGCCTCCTGCGCCGAGGCGGCCGTCCACTCGGGCGGCAGGGCGGCAGTGCGGACGGGCCGGTCGGCGCGGCGGGGAGTCAGACCGGAGCCCTCCAGGTCCTCCACAGTGAGGTCGCCGTCCGCGCCCGGCTGCCGCTCCGAGCGCCTGAGGAGGAAGACGGAGGTCAGATACACAGGAGGGGGAGGGAGAGCGCCCGGCTGCCGCTCCGAGCGCCTGAGGAGGGAGACGGAGGTCAGATGCACAGGAGGGGGAGGGAGAGCGCCCGGCTGCCGCTCCGACCGCCTGAGGGGGGAGACGGAGGTCAGATACACAGGAGGGGGAGGGAGAGCGCCCGGCTGCCGCTCCGAGCGCCTGAGGGCAAACAGGGATCAGTCTGATGGACAACGGGAAAAGGGGAGTCAGCGCGGGACCGGCACCGAGTCAAGAGGAGGGCGGTGTCGCCGACTGGCAACAACGGTGCGTTAAAATCGGGTGTCGCCTAGCGATGACAGCACCGCCGTGACGTAGTCTGAAAGCGGAATATGTGAAAAACACGACAATCGAACGAGCGTGTGGGCGTGTGACGTTAGCACGTACGTTGCACCGAGACGTGGGTGGTGTGTGACGTCATCAGGTACTTTATTTTGACTGGCGACGTGGGAGGGAGGTCGACACTCGTGCTGAGTGGGTGTGATTTCACCGGGTTGGAGTGTTTTTGAACGGCGTTTGATGACCTGCTAAAATGATTAGTAGGCATAACAGTGTTTGGGGTGGCGTCGAGCCAACCGCTGACCAACGCATCTAAAACTGCTGGGCTTACTGTCGAGGCCAAGCTGTCACACGTGACTTATACCACACTCAAAGAAACCACAAACTTTGAAACCTCGCAGCTAATTCAGGTCACACGAATGCGCCGAGTCTGATAACTTTTCACGCCGTGTTTTGAGCTTGCCTGCGGCGCAGTCGGCCGTCGACAGCCGGTATCTATATGACCCGGGGTCTGATTTACGGCCCCAGTTGGCACCGGGCCCTCGTTCGCAGCTTGTCCGCGCGGTGGCCAAGTATATGTCCCGCGACATTCCGCCGCGGGCCGCGTCAGGAGGTCATCCGGTCGATACCCCCTATGACGTCACCACAAGGGGGCCTGCTCCGGACAGGGCGCGGCCCGCCGGCGACAGGCGCGGTCGATACGGCGGGGACGGGGCCGGTTCGCCCGCGCCGGCCCCGCGCCGGGCGGTGTGTGCACTGGACAGTTAATCACGAAACCCGGTCCGACTGGACACGCCCCAGCGGCCGCCGCCGAGAGCCGTCACATCCAGCGGCGCTGGGACACCGCGAACTACACAGAAATTCGGCCACCGTACACAGAAACACGTGATAGAGCCGGGGGACTGCTGATCGGGCGACTCGCAGATAGACCCGCAGACAGACCGGCAAACACACCGACGAATAGACTCGCCGACAGTCACTCACAGGCGCGCAGACAAACAGACAAACAGAGCTGATGGGACCGGACGCGGTCAGCCGACACCCTGATTGGACATTGTCCAAACAGCCGCAGTCAGCCTGGCACACAGTACGGACCGACACGACAGCAGACTGGACTCGGACCGAACAGAGACTTCACACAGACCGTGCCCCGGCCCACCGAGTCACAGCTGCTCTGTCCAGGCCGAATGTCATTGTGGGACACGGTCAGCCGTTCCGCCGTTTTCCCATTGTAACTTTGGACGGTGATCTGGCGGCCGGCCATTCGCGGCGAAATAGAACCACCTGAGAGCGGCCGACACGATCGCGGCGGAACGGGAACGTCTCGGAGAGGGCCATCCCCGGGAATATAGGGCCACCTGAGGGCGGGCCGTCTATGGCGGACAGAGCCATCAGACCGACTAACTAAACGCCGCGGGACTCATACACCGGAGAGTTGGCCGTCCCCTGAGGACAGAGTATGGAGAACCGACAGTGGACTGCCGGACAGAGCCAACGGAGAGCCGACCGACATGACCGCGGCGGGCCCAATCGGACCGTACTTCTCTCGAAGTGGCCATTCACTCCGACCACACCGGGAAGCGGACTTAATGGCTCAATTCCGATCAGGCCCTTCCAGAGGTCCAATTCGGTGACGGTGAGCCAGGGAAGAGCCGTGCGATCGGGAACAGACCACCCGGTCGAGACCGGACCAAATTAACAGAAAGTTCAATCTTGAATCTAAGTGGCTCGACTCTAAGATCGACTCAAATCAGACCACTGTTAGATGTAGAGCTTCTCGGTTATGAAATAGACACACTTGTTTGGAAGTGCACAGTTTGGTATAAGATAGACGGTATATGTATTTCAAAAGACACGGCGAGTGCCACCATACCTCACTTGAGCACCGCAAGACACCTTCTATCGTTCCTCACCTGTGGTACTGTTTGACGCTCCAGGTCTGCGGCAGCCGGCGCGGCAGGGACGAGCCAGAGGCCACCCTCTGAGGTAGCCGCGAGCCGACGGGCCGGCCCGCCGCGCGACCATCCTGGAAAACGGAGGGAACACGTCACCGCATCAGCAACAAAGCATAGGGAGATAACAATACTAGGACCATTAGGTATATGCCGCACATTCTGCATTAATGACGTTAGCTGTTGGGGAGCGTCATCTGGTTTGCGTCTCACGGCACCCACCACGACCCTCCTATCTCCCACCACGCCCTCCCTCCCTTCCTCACACGCACACAAACTACAGTTGTGAGGGGAGGCGCGATAGCATATCACAACAACTTACGGTCAAAGGCCTACGGGACTGAGCCTGGAGTTAGCGCTATTTACAGAGTTCTTTAGTCAGTGACGCACAAATCTTCCGTAATCACAAGAAGAAAACACGTGAAGAAATACTAAAACGGTCGTGTCATTCTGTATCGCCTTACTACAGAAGTTTCCACCTCTCCCGGCCCAACCGTGACCAAAGGACGTCAATAAACCAATACTGCCTAACTTTCGAACATGTCCCGGAATATCGTGACCACATTAGGTAAAGCGAGTCTCGAATTACCCGATACAGGCGCTACAGGTGGATCATAAATATGTGCATACATATGAGTGATTAACTACGCCATCCCCACACTGCACCAAAACGGCGCCATGTGCGATACAGTTGAATCACTGGACGCTATGAGTATGATAGAAGTAATACCACGGTGTATTTGGTTTATTTATATCCGCCATTCCCATGGCAATATATCTCGGCTCGCCACCGTTCCAAGACCACCTGTCAGTATACGGTTCAGCCCGACGATAACGAACAACTAGCCAATACCCGGGATTTATTCCACCCCGATTGATTATACTCGTATCGACTGGTATGTACGGGCGGTTCTCTTGCCACGCTGGCAGACTGGTTCACTGATACTTACAGGCAGCCCGCTCTGCAGACAGATTATCGCATAGTACGGATAATTCTCTCACCCCAAATAGCTGACTTATGCACATGAGGCCTTTTATGTCCGGAAGGCTCACCCACTGAACAAGAGCTTCACAATTACAGCCTATGTTGTCACAGCTCGACAATGAATCCACAAACTGAGACCTAAACAATGCACAGTGAACCTTAGACCAAGCAAACAAAAGTCGGGCCTTGATGAGAACTTGCATGGTCATCTCTCAAAACTCTGTAGGGTTATTCAGTCAACCGAGCGAAACGCGACGATTGCTTTGTTTTTGTTCCACACAATGCAGTGTTAATGTAACGTCATCAACAGTCAGACAGGAAGCAAAAGGAGCACCAAACAGGGACGAGTTCGATTGGATGAAGCTGATGACAGCTCTTCGACGACAATGTGAACAGCAGACTGCACGGGACCATGACGGCTATGTAGGTCCGCTCACGGTCCGCGTTTTGATGGCTCACCGACTGCAGGTCACCCGGCTCAGCCTGCCCGCATTGCGTCTCTCGTTGTTAGACGCAATAAAGCAAATGAAAATATTGGAGGTTTAGCACTAATAAAGGTATACATATGTGCGAACGTCAAACGCTCACCAAGAAGAGCTTGTAGCGCTCACCACCCCCGTGCCAAAGGCCCCTATATCCGCCCGAGTCTCAGTTGAAACGGCGCCACCACAGCCCATCAATTCCCCGCACCACCAGACACCAGCTAACACCGCGGGATCGACTGCTAACAGCGCGGCCTCCGCTAATGGTCCGCTAACGGCCGTAACTCAGTTACCTGCCGCTCAGGGGTATTCGGTGGAGGGGCGCGGCCGGACCGATCGGGCCCACTGCCCCACTGCATGCAGGGCCGGGACGGTCGTACCGGTGACCTATGGCGAGCGGCGGATTAAAGGTCAGCAGGGTGAGTGAATGACAGAGTGGTCACTGTATTTATAGCGGACTGAATGGAACCGTTCGGCCGTACTGGAGAGGACTGAACTGGTGAGAGAAATATCATCTGCCTCAGTCAAATATTGGGACAAAGTTACCACGCTTCGCACGGTCTGAAAGTCCACATCTTTTGAGAGCGACCTTCGGGATTCTCCGTGAAGTTCAGTTCCATATATCCGACCAGCCTCGCGTGGTCGGCGGCCATTTCAGAGAAGCCAGGCCATACATACGGGCGGCCGGAGTGAGGGAGGGGGTCGTTACGACTCTGAACCGAGGGGCTGGGCGGCGCGGGCCGGCCGTGACATACTGCACAGTTACGGCAGTGTATCCGAGGAGTGGGACGGTACGAAATGGCGGAGAAGTTCGGCTGTAGAACGGCGGAGTTTATAGCCGAGTCGGTTATAGCTGGCGTGACGGCGGACCGTTCTCCGCCCGGTCAGAGCCGCGGCGGCTCGGCGGACCGCGGACTCGGCGGAATTCCTGGTCGGCAGTGACACGCGTCACCCGTGGGAACCGAACGGGCCCGCCCGCCTCTCATCGTCTGCCAGTCACCGTAAACGGGCGCCTCTCCACAGCGGCGCTGGGACGGCGCGGGTGCGGGCTGGGCTAGTGATGAGAGTGACGGCTCTGTTACTGAGGAAGGGTGTCGCTCTGCTACCGCTGGTACCGGGGAGGACCGGTCGCTGTCGCTCTGCTACCGCTCTGTTACCGGGAAGACGCACGGGTGTTGCTCCGTTACCGCTCTGTTACCACTCTGTTACCGCCGAGGACCGGCGGGTGTCGCTCTGTTACCGGGAGGACCGGCGGGTGTCGCTCTGTTACCGGGAGGACCGGCGGGTGTCGCTCTGTTACCGGGAGGACCGGCGGGTGTCGGCCTCCTCCCCGTATCGATCCGCCGTGCGGCGCAGATGGCCGTCGCTCCGTTTGTCTGACCGTGACAGGACGCAGCAGACCACACAGGGAGCTGGGACGGACGGACGGAGAGCACACCCACCTTGGTCTGGTCGCGCTGGAACATGGCCCCTGACTTCTGTCCACCGGCCGCCGGCGCCGTCGCTCTGCCGTCGCCCGCAGCTGTCGGCACCGGACTGACGGCCGCCGGTACCGGACTGACGGCCGGCGCTGACACGGCACCGTCTCCGTGAGGACCTCCCGGTCGTCCCGCCGCCGGCCGGACCGCGGCGCCCTGCCGACACGACACAGGCTCAGCAGGACAGCAGAGAGCTGCCGACACGACACAGCGCTCAGCAGGACTGCACCGGCGCCCAGCGGCGACACGCCGCCGCCGCCGCCGGCCGGGGGTGTCTATCGATCCACTGCGCCTCCTCCAGCGCGGCGGGACGGCCGATTTTCCACGCCAGCTGGCCGACGCGGCGCCTCACAGCCGAACACGCTTCACCAGACAAACTAGTCCGGTTCAGCCGCGGTCAGATCGAGCCGCGGTGAGCTCCGTCAGGTCCAGTTGACACTGTGTGTGGTGCTCGCCCAGCGGTCGCCGTCACACTGCCGCCGTTCGCAACACGCCGCCACGACTCAGGCCGGCCGGCGCCGGACACGACTCCGCGAGCCGGCGGGGAGCGTGCGCGGGCGCGGGAGCGCGAGTGGCCAGCGGCGCGCGGTGAGCCGTGCTCAGAGAGCGTGAACAGAGGCAGTGAGCGACGACGGGCCGGGCGGATCGATACGGCCCGCCGGGACGGCAGGGGACGGGATACAGGGACGGCGGGGAATCCAAGGACAGAGCTGCACAGGCCGGGATAGAGGGATAGCCGAGCCACGGGTATCCAGCGGGAGAGAGGTCCTGGACGGCGGGGAGTCCGAGGGTATAGAGCTGCAAGAGCCGGGATACAGAGACAGCGTGGGTTATGAGGACAGAGCCAGAGCTGTACGCCCGGGACTTAGAGAAGTGGAAAAGCTGGATGGATCCAGTAGATCGGGGTATAGCCACGAGATCAAGACAAGGAGGAACTCCTGTCGAGTCAAAGGAACAGCGCAAACTTACGGGAGTTGTTGTGAGACCGGAGGTAACTGTGAGGGAGGGCTGGAACGAGATAAGATAGAATGGGACGAAAGCACTACCTCCTCTGTTGGTGACTGTTCGACTGACTGAGGCCGGTTCCAGCTCGGCACCACCGGGAAGTGCCAACCCAGCGCGGCTGGTACCGGTGACCAGCGGTCAGCGCGAGCCGGCGAACAGTGACCATTCGAGCCGTGACCGGGGTGAGCGCCGGCCCGCCGCGGCGGTACCGGTGGACGCTGGCCGTCCCAGCCGTGACCGGCGGCGCCGGAGCTCTCACGCCGCTCCCAGCCGCCCGCGCGGCGGCCCGGAGACAGCTCTCGGCCCGAGTCGCCCGTCTCGGCACGAGCCTGACCCGGTCTCCGGCCGCCGGACGCGCCGTGACACCCCGCGGCACCGCCCAGCGTCCCACAGGAGCGCGCGAGAGAAACCGTGCAATGCGGGTGGGAACGGGGCCGGCGCTCAACCCAGCGCTGGACGGCGCGAAATGGGGCTGGAGGTGGGCCATCAACGGTGAAAAGCGGCAGCTCGACAACAAAGAGCCGCGGAAAGGGAGCGGAGAAGGCTTGAGAACTGGCTAAAAAGGGAAACTGCGACGGCCATGGCTTACGGCCATGGCCATGGCTTACTGCATGCCTGTTGCAGGGTATCTAAGGGATGCTGGGAATCGTTGAAAGAGTTCGTCCGTGTCAATGACTCAGATCAGGACTGTCGAGATGAAAAGACCTGCTGAATTGGTTCCACATGAAGCATAAGGCTTCGGAACATTAGGAGTAAGCTTTGTACCTATGTATTACCTAGTTTAGACGATAAATCACTCTGACCGAACTGTCATGAACACCAAAAAGCAAATGCGAGCCTAATAACAAACAAGCATGTGAGCGACAAGAACAAAAAAAAAATCAATAAATAGCAGTAAATGTGACTGACCTTGGCCATCGATCCGGGCGCCATCAGGCGGCTGGGCTGCGCTGACCTCGTCCCGCCGGCGGCGGCAGGTCGGTCTGACGGTGGCGCCGCGCTGCGGCCGCTCGGCGCACTATCGGCCAACCTGCAGAGAACCATGGCGGGGGAGCGTCAGCGAACGACTGGCGGTGTATACCGCGACACAGCCGGACCGGGCCTGGGGGCGGGGGCGGGGGCGGGGGCGGCGCAGCTGCGCCACATACCGCACACCACACAGGTGCGCGGCGACCACCGGCGACAGGCCGCGGATGGATATGCACACCGGAGGGGGCAGACGCCGACACCGACACAGATCGACAGTACAGTCCGATAGATCGGGCCCAGAGAGCACATTGCACAATAGAGAAGGGCACAATAGACACGCGCCTTGACGACAGCGATCAAGATATCGTAATCGGAAACTTGACTGAACAATTTTATTACAGCAAGACACCTACCCAACGTTACCTCTGAAAGGTTACATGGAGTCCCAGTTCAAACAAGTTGCCGCCCTCCCAGTTCCCAACATCCCCTCCCTTGTGTTTTGCGCCTGGAGTGCGGCCCTTTCCCTCTAGAGTCTGGGACGAAGCATCCTCCACCCGTTCCCCCAGACGCCACTAACCCACTGTCCCGTACCATGACCCCGACCCCTGGCTCAGGTGTTCCCACACCTGTGGCGTCGGCTGACCGCATACTGTGTATACAGGACCGACGGTGGGTAAATGTAACCACAGCTGTGTGTGTGTGTGGCTGTCACCGAGCGATGGCTGCTGTCGTCACCTCTCCCCTCCTCCCTTACTCTGCCTATCACCACAGCAGACCACCAATCACTAATCACCAACCAGTAGCAAACCCACCACCCTCCACCCATCATTCTGTAGTGCCCTCCCACCACCCACCGTCCCCACCCATCAGCGGGCAGCGCCTACCCACCGTCCCCCACCATCAGAGTGGCACCCACGACCGCACGTGTCGGGTGTGACAGGTTCATAATTGACGGGTGACGGCCGGCGACGGGTCGCCAGCACCTAATTGGGTCGGCGGTGACGGGAGGCCGAGGCCGGTCATTCCGATAGCATTGACAGTGCGATCAATGATGGTCAGATATGATCAGTGATCGCCACAGCCGAGACTCCGGACAGAAATTGATAGAAGTTATTGTGAATGGTGAGCAGGCACGGAAATATTCAGCTAGATGGTTTGCGGTCAGCATTAGGGGCAGTAGGAAGCTGGCAGTGTTTAGAGATGGGAATGTCAGCTTCTTTACCGTACAGTGACTGATGTCGGCGGATGCAAGGGTCAAGTGAGCGCTCAGAGGCAGACCAGTGAATGCTGAAATATTGATTGCTATACAGTGATAGGTTTACGATATGTTTGAACTGATAGTTTACTGGTATCGGTCACAGGGACTTCACCTGTAGCCGACAATACAGTACCAGTGTGATTGTGCATTATCCGCCGTGCGACATGGCGATATTGAATTAGGAGTACCCACTATGTCCCGGATGTGGTCGCACTATCGAGGCCGCGGGATCGCCGAAACTGCGTCAGCACGGATTGCGTGATGGTACCGATTCGGTAAGTGGGCGCACGCCGAGCGCTGGCCGCAGTTCCCACATTTACCACATAGATGGGCACATTAGCGCCGGCCAGAAGTGCCATCTCAGCGCTTCCGGCCCGGCTGAGTTGTGTGCGAAACTCGGGACAGCTAACGGTCTCATGGCACGTTCCGAACGTCTTGCTTCCACGAAATGGCTATGGCCCTAGCGACTAGCGACACCCGCTCCGCCGTCCAGGGCCCGATCTGGATCATGCTCGAACAGTGGCTTATAGCATATTCGGCTACCCTATCATCCAGCGCAAACGAATTTAACGTGAAATCGAATTAGCCGCCACACGATTGTTAACGACAGAATCTGCATCTGAAGACGTCAGAGGCCGGCACCACCAGCTGACTAGCTTGCGGTCGGATCAGCGGGTGGTCCCACTGAGGTAATGGTCCGAGCTGTGACCCCCGACTGACTCGCCTTCGACGACATCAGAGACCGGCACCATCAGCCGACTATCCCACCGTCTGAGCAGTGGTCCCACCGAGGTAATGGCCCGAATCGCCATCCCCCGGCTGATTCGGCCGACATTACCAATCTTTTCCGCCACGTCCAATTGGCGTTTGATGGGCTCGCCGCTACGGCCGACCGATAAAGGCGGCTCAACTCCTACTCGCATTGGACCCAGCGACTCCTGAACTCTGGGGACGTACGCAACAACGCGGAAGAGTGTTTCTATCTTTTAACCGTTTATCGCCAAAATATGCGCCAATAGGCTACTTTCATAAGCATGACAATCGATCAACACACCCACTACAAACCAAGTTCACAGGAGACATCAATGTTTACTGATATCAATGAAGGATCATCATGATCTAGTTGAAGTCCCAGTTCCCACCGCTGTGCTCCGCCCAGATATCGACTCAGCCTTGCTCCTGCAGTGTGATATCAGCTGGGCGCCCGGCCAGCTGGGCGCCCGGCCAGCTGGGCTCCTTTTGTGTTCTGAGGTGGCTCTGTACAGTGACGTGTATTGCCCCTCACACAGCCCCCCCCCCCCACACACACACGGTCACCGTCTCACCTGTCGGTGTCGGTCGTCTCTGCGGAGTCCTGGAAGCCCCTGGTATCGCCCGCCGCCCGCTCCACAGCTGCGGCCGACGGCACCCGACCGCTGACGTCGCCCCCTGCCGACGGTTTGGGAAGGTAGAACACGGCGGCCCGGAAGGCGATAAACAGCCACCCACAGGCGACAATCGCTAATCTTATGAGGGCCCCTTATCTAACTCGACACCTACCTACATGGTGATCACCTCTGGTTCTAATCATTCAAGGGTAAGCCTTTTTATCAGAACGCTTCGAGTTCAGCCACAAACATTATTTAACAAACAAGTATTTAGGCATGACGTTCGAAAACCCAGAGCTGGTGACGTGGGGACCCGACCCACCGTTAGCGTCTGACGTCCGTCTCGGCGAGGGCGCCTGAGTCCGCCGCTGTGCGGGCGGTGTGCCGGTACGGGGCAGGCTGGGTGACCGCGGCGCACCGGTGGGCCTCCGCTGCGGCCGCGGAGAGCCTTCCGCTGCCCTCTGGACCGGCGAGTCCCCGGCGGCGGCCCGGCGCGGCAGGCGGCCCGGCGGCCGCGCAGGGCCCGGTGAGGAGGGCCCGGCGCGTGCCGTGGGACGCCGCGCCGGGAACGGGGAGCCCAGAGTGGGGTCGTCCGAGTCCGGCTGGTTACTGGACGACGTGGCGTCACTCAGCTGCGAGCTGCGAAACGGATACATAACAAGGTCGTCACAGCATGGTCACCTCACAGTACCGCCTTCAAAAGCAGGCCGAGCAACACAAGAGAAAGATTTATAGTGCTGGATCGCTTAAAAGCCATAAAACATAGACACAGCCTCACAACTCGATAGGCCCAGCCACGTCGGGCAGTGCACTAACCTGAACTCGGCGTACCCGGAGCTGGGCTCAGTGGTGGCGCCACTGCTGCTGCCGGCCGACCCGGCGCGCGCCAGTCGGGCGGTCGGCGGGGCCCTGCGCCGCCGCTCCGGCGTCAGCGTCGGCTCGGTGACGTCCGAGGAGAGGCCGCTGAGCGCGCTCAGCGTGCTGTCCGTGCAGCCGCGCACCGTGTCGCCGTCCGAGGCCGGGTCGCCGTCCGGCTCCTCTGACTCGTCCGGCGCGGAGGGAGCCGAGCGGTCCTCTGCGGACAGCAGTCCCACGACAGGGCTGTCCTCGGTGGGGCCCTCGGCGGGGATGTCCTCGGCGGGCAGGTCCTCGGTCGGTATATCCTCGGCGTCCTCCTCAGTCGCCTCCTCGTCCTCCTCCTGATCCTCCACCCCCGGTGGCGGCGGGCCCTGCTCGGCGGGCAGGCCCCTGTCGGCCGGGCCCGGCGGCCGCTCCAGGCCGACCAGAGAGCGGACCCGCGGCAGCGAGCCCGCCCAGCCGGCCGCCGGTCGCAGCAGCCGGCGGCGGAGCTCGGCCTCGGAGACCCCGGCCTGGCGGGCCGCCTGCCGGACGGCGGCCGCCAGCCGCGCCTCGCCGCGCCGCTCCAGGCCCGGGTCGGAGAGCGAGCTGAGCACCGAGTCACCACTGTCCGAGCGGGGCACGCGCCGCGCCGGCGGCCCGGCCGTGGCCAGGAAGCGCGCCTCGGGCCGGCCGGCGCTGGCCGAGTCCAGGTTGTCGCAGGTCTCGGCCAGGCCGCCGGCGTGCAGCTCCTGCTGGAGGGCACGCAGCCGGCGCGCCGGCAGTCCGGGCGTGCCGGCGCCGGCGCCCGGCTCCGGCGGCGGCACGCCCTCCGGCCGGGCGGCCAGCAGGTTCTTGAGCGCCGCGCTGCTACCCATGGCGATCATCTGGTGGCGGCTGTGGATCAGCGAGCGCAGCATCGAGACGGCGCCCAGCTCCCAGAGGGTGCGCTGGTCCTGGGCGCAGCGCGCCGACAGGTTCCACAGCGTGCCGCACGCATTACTGACTATGGTCAGACTGGAGGACTTGAGCTGCTGCAGCAGCGTCTCCAGACAGTTGTGCTCCCGCAGGATTGCCCTGTGGCAGCGGGTGGAGGCCGGAGGGTCAGTGGTGACGGCCGACGGAGATAAAGTTACAGTTCGTTCTCAACACTCGAAAGTGGTCGGCATTCCCCTATTCACTGTTGATGCATTTTGACGGCTATGCAACTGCGGCACATTAACAATTAAATACATTAACCCAATAAAATTACCAATGCATCACAAGATAGGATGCTAACACTATAAAACTCCCTGAATCTGTCCCTTGTTTAATCTCCCGAAGCTTCCACTCTCATAGGTACCTGTAGTCCTCCCTGCCGGCGATGTGGCTGGACATGTTGCGCAGGATGCCGCCGCCGTTCTCCACGATGGCCGTCGTCTTGGACGGCGACTGGTACGTCAGCGTCTTCACCAGGAAGGCCAGCGCGCCGTCCACCGCGCAGATGTCAGCCTGCGGTCAGGGCGGGCAGCTGAGCGGGGCTGGCCGAGACGCCTCAGACACAGCGGCACGCTCCCGGCGCCGGTGGCACCATTTATCGCAAGCCGAGCCAATACTGTCAGGGAACGGCGGCGGGCGGCGGGCGGAAATACGGAGCGGCGCCGGAGCGGACCGGGAACATCAGAGACTGACGGGGCAGATCGAGTGTAGCTGCGAATAACAGCGAATGGAGAGTGAAGCTTTAGGAACGAGGGCTGGAATGACGTCATCTGCAAAATGCACCAATTATGAATACTCATGTGCGCATGGAAACGCTTTATTAAAATTCAATGCTTATGATTTGCATAAGCATGTTGCCAAATTGATGCAACGGCTTATGCATGAACAATTCCATGAGAATTTGAAATATGGAAAGTAGAATATGTGCATAAATTTGAAGAGTTTGGAACCAACTTGTAATAATCTGAGGGCGATTACCATATGTACAAAGCCTCACCTAAACATTCGGGGATTTTCCGTTCCAAGGAACGGAAAATCCCCACGAAAGCACGAAAATGCATCGGACCTTTCTATACCATGGAAACAACAAAAACATGCGGATGATAGGCGGCAGCGTCGCCATCTTCCCAACCCCCAGATATTACACTGCACTAATTAGACCCACCCGCTCCGCCTCCCAAGCCCCTATCTTTTCAACACCGCAGTGATCTAACAACTCCGCACCTTGTTCATGCCGCAGTGGGCCGAGAGGTTCCAGAGCGCCGAGAGCACCGATTTGAGCGTGGACTCGCGCTGGGCGGCCATGGCGGCCTGCGTGAGCGCCGTCACCGCGCCCACCTCCCGCAGCGTCTGCTTGCTGGCGGCGTCTGCGCGCCACGACAGGTTACGCAGCACGCTGGCCGTCACCTGGGGAATGACAGGTCAAAACAGGTCAGGTCAGGTCAGAACAAACCGTGCAGGGGTCGGAACTGGCTTGAAAAATAGGAAATGAAACCCGGTCATATTGCTGTTAATAAGAGCGCTCCGACTAAAATGCGCAATGCTGGCCACATTTCGAAGTTAATCCACAGTAATTTAATTGAATGTCAGCTATAGCCGTCCACCTGCACAATTTCGACCAAGTGTGAATACTGCGATCAACTTTCAGCCATGGACGAGTTTTGGATGGTAGAACGTAATCGCCGACTCGCCTGCGTGAGGTCCTCGTTGGGCGAGTGTAGCTGAGCCACCAGCGCCCTCATGAAGCCGCGGAGGCCGCAGAGCAGCGCCTTGTTGGTGCCGTCCCCGAACGTCAGGTTGGTCAGCGTCATCCCGGCGAACCTGGCCGTCACACAGTCGGGTCACAGAGAGGTCACAGGTCACACACGGGTCACAGAGAGGTCACAGGTCACACAGTCGGGTCACAGAGAGGTCACAGGTCACACACGGGTCACAGAGAGGTCACAGGTCACACAGTCGGGTCACAGAGAGGTCACAGGTCACACACAGGTCACAGAGAGGTCACTGGTCACACACGGGTCACAGAGAGGTCACAGGTCATACACGGGTCACAGAGAGGTCACTGGTCACACACGGGTCAGACGGTAAGTCAAAAGGCCGCAGCTCAACGCGGGTTACACACCGGGGTACAGAATGCAGCTGGTCCACCAACAGGAAACAGGTCACACGCTGACCGTGTCAGGCACGCGCTGCCACACGGTCAAGGCGAGGTGCAATCAGGCCTGACAGCGGCAGCGCGGCGGTCCAATGAGCTCCATCCTAATGTCGTGCTCAATGAATGGGGAAATTGCGGCCGTCGAGGCCAGATTTCCGGCTGGTGGCGACAGAAAGTGTGACTGATCAGGACAGGAGGGAATGGTCAGCGCGGCAATCGCAGAGAATGACAGGGAAGGCTGGCAGGACGATACTTACTGTGGGAGCTATTGGGGCAATCACAAACGAGAACTACGACGCAAAAACAGTGCAGTGGTATAAAACCGTGCAAAGTAGATAATTAAAAGGAGAAGACGTTGCTCTGATGACTATGACATAACTGACTACTCCGGTTATCTGTCCCTCCTTCTGTCCCTTTCCTTACCTCCTGGTACTGTTGCAGGTCAGGTGAGCGGTAGCCGAGCCGTGCGCCTCGTGGTCGGCCTGGACCAGCTCTGCCACCGTGTACAGGCCCCCCAGCTGACACATGACGGTGCGGTGCTCCTCGTCAAACGAGAGCTTCATCAGGGCCACCACCGTCGGCACCGGGTGGTGGTCCAGAGAGTCTGACGGAGGGAGGGGAGGGGTTAGGGGGGTCAGAGGGGGGTCAGAGGGGGTCAGAGGGGGCCACCACCGTCGGCACCGGGTGGTGGTCCAGAGAGTCTGACGGGGGAGGGGAGGGGTTAGGGGGGTCAGAGGGGGTCAGCGGGGAGTCATCAGGGCGACCACTGCCGGCACCACGGTTCAGAGTCTGCAGAGTAGGAGGACGGCAGACTCAGTCAGGGGACAAGCTGACTTACAGATGTTTATCAAGATGGTAAAATTCGCTGTAAATACGGGTAAGCGGATGCAAAATACTGCATGTGGAGGTACAACTTCTAAAGGATATTATGCACACAAAGTAGGAAGCAAATATCAATAAGCGCCAACGCAAACATCCCGTGTTTTTATGCAGAGGTCTACCGATTCACAAAAACAACCGCAAAAGGTCAGCACGCCCGAGAGTCAATAGCGCTCGATAGCCTTATCTGAAATCTCTTATGAAAACACCCAGGGGGCCTCGCACTATCAGCCTGCCTGTTGCCACAACAGCCATGGATATTCTGGAGACGAGCCCAAGTCTCTCCCTAGCTCGTCCAGTGACGTCAGCACCTCCCCCGTGACCTCACCGTCCTTCAAGTGACCGCCAGTGACCCGCCCTCCCACCTACCTTCCATGATCATGCCGGTGCCGCCCTGTTCGTCCATCCGCTGCCACAGGCTCTCCGTGAACTCGCGCAGCTGTTCGAGCAGGCGGAGCACGCGCGCCTCCCGGCGCGTCCGCTTGTCGTCACACTGCGAGTGCACCAGGTTGTGCAGCGCGTGCGACGCCGACGAGCGCACCTGTCGTGGTGAGAGACACGGGTGTCAGCGGCGGGCGGCCGAGGGAGGGACGGGGAGGGGAGGGATGGTGAGTGAGTCTTGAGCGGGGAGGGGAAGGGGAACGAAAAACGACGCCAACAGTCGTGTAACCAAGGCTCAAGTATGACGACACGGGGAAGTATGGATTACTGCTGTATGCAAATGCCGAGCTAGGGACATAACGTCAACATGCCACTGTTGCCATGTTATCGGTAAGCCTTACTGCCCCTGGACGGACTTATATCACCCCTGTTGTTTCCTCACCATTATATCATCACTGCCCCCTCACGCCACACGCGATCACGGGTCACCCGGGGACTGGCAGACGCCGCGCTACACAAACACACCAGGCCGTGTGGCCGTGTGGCGGGGGACAGTCAGCGCCCGGTGACTCATGGAGCAGCACTGAGTGACGAGGGAGGGAGCCGTAACTCGGCACTCGTCAGCCGGGCAGTGCGTGCAGCCGTCCCCCTCAGTCGTCCGCGGCATACTGCAGTCAGCCGTCCGCGTTATGTCGGTCCACGTCACCCCAGCGCCGGTAACGCAGCGGTAAACCACGCCGACGAGGGGCTCTGTCACACGCCGCCCGTCTGTCACGGACTAAACAGCTATCGCATCGCAGCAGACACGCGTTCAAAATGGACGTGAAGCAGCCTTTAGTCGCCGGAGACAGTGACACGCTGCAAACGGACGGCGCTGTGTGGGGTAAAGGCTTGTTCACACAGGCTGACAGACAGCTCCGGTGTTGCAGCTGACGGAGCTGTTACAGTCCCGTCAAGTTCAGGTGTCAATGTCGGTAATATCCGTCAGCCCGGATAAAGGGTGCCAGCGCCACGGACATGTTATGAGCGTTGTATCTAAATTTGTTTGACACGCGTGAACATACGCCAATTTTCAATGTTTGTTCTACAACGAACCTAACCGGGTTCACAAACATTTTACGCGTTTTACATGTCATTAGTGGTTATAAGCAGAAGCCTGTGATGACAGCGTAAAAAAACATGCTTTGATTATCGACGAAGAAATGTCAGCCTTTCATCAAAGGCACCTTGAAGTGCTGCCACCAACCGCGCTCCCTTGGAGTTCCCATACATTAGGCTGCGTTGGCAGCTCTGTTTATACGTGTTGCGGGCGAGGTTGGCAGCCGGGCAGTGGCATTAATCTGGTCCGACACTTGGCAATTTCAGACTTCATTAGTGCTCACTCGGCCTCGTGTCGATACGACCCCGGCGGTGTGGCTCGGCGGGGAGCCGGCTGACACATAGGCAGTCCTCTCATTTCACGGGCCCTGGTCTCGCTTTGGATTTAGCAAGGGCCAGTCGTCAGATCACTGCTAGTTACGCAGGCTAGCAGGGAGAATGTCCATTTCAGCTTTGCAAAAATAAGAACAACCAGGAACCCACATTGAGCCGTTTGACGTTTTTATCTGCGACCCCAGAAGTTAACCTCCTGTTCACTTTTGGCGGATATCGACCGTGATGTGCCGTTCGTTCCGCCGCTATGACGATCCCTTACCATTGTGTGTTATCACACAGGTGTCGATAAGTACATACACGGGCAGTGCCACACCACCACTCAGCCACCTGCACATATGGATATGCACGGCCATGAAGAGCACAACGGCAATAACAGAGCGGTCCACAGCTGTTCTATCAACTGCCGGCAACGGTGGTCGACTCTTCCCTATGCATTATCCCCACTTCCCTCTTATCCACTTCTCTCACTCTCTCCTTCCCTCTCCCACCTCCGCCATTTCCCACCGCCCATAACCCGCCCAGCGCGCCCACCCAATATCGCGCCGCACTGCATATTGGACGGACACGGCCGGCGGTGTGGCCATATGGCGTCCCTGCTGGGGACACTACTGCACCGACCGCCCACACATCGGACCGCCCTCTGTCTGCATGGCTGGCACCATACATACATCCTACCCGGGGTCGGCGCAGACAGGTTACCGTAAAGTGGGGCTATTTGAGACAGTGGGGCTATTTGAGACAGTACGGTATTGGTTTAGTAAAATTGCTGTAAAATTAAAACCGTTTTATATTTTTCATCAATTATTGCTCAGGGTGATTAGAATTTAACGGTGAATTCCATTGATAGGATTTTTTGAAAATTTTGAAAAGTTTTGAAAGAACTTTGGCATTAAACGAAAAATACAGAAAAAAAAAACACAATTTTAGTTATACGAAAAGCACCCCTACCTGCACCTTAACTTGGTTGAAGTTTTGAAAACTTTGCAACCGAATCTATCGTAACTATCGTTTTACTTATGGGCTGAGCACATTTTTCATGAAGACATTATATATTGTTAAAGGGACACTCCCACCTTAACATTAGTTTTGAGTTGAGATAGCCAAATTGGTGGCCATGGCCTGCAAATACCGGTTTGGGCACTCACAACATCGAAAAATGCTTTAATTCGAAGATATGGAATTTCAAACTTGCAGTTTTCGGATTCTAAGGGGCTAATGCATTGGAATGCCCCCTTAGAATTTGTGACGTCAGCGGGATCTAACGATTTTTAAATCTTAGACTAAAACCATCGTTAACACATGGTGGTATACGCTGCTTTGCGCGCAACGTCTGCGTATATTCGGATGCAGTATGAGTAGAGCATGGGTCCCGAAAAATTCTTCAGAAACTAGAGAAATTCTCGTACCATGACCAATAAGGACATTCAGGGGAATCGCGCTGGCCAGTAAAAGGGCTAACTTTGCATGGTGGCGTACATTACACGACCTTGATTACACGTATTACACGTGGCGTAATTAAGGCATGCTGTGCCTAAATGCACCTTTTGCAGGGGCTAGGAAAACCGTAATTTCTTCCAATAAAAAGTACTTAAATTATAAGAGTGGAGGTAGATTTAACTAGAAAAATGTTCATCGATCGTTATCAAGCAGAGACCGCATTCACCAGACACATTGCTTAAGCACAGGTTAAGTTTCTGCTTAAGCGGGCGCATAATGGTAACTCTCCCCTACCTATTAATTTGAGGACTCGTTTTAGGGACTTGGGCGGGCGGCCGGGCGGATGGGAAGACAGATAGACGGACGGAGGAACATCCGCAGAGACGGACGGACGGACGGATGGAGAAACGGGTGGATGGAGAATCGGACGGACGGAGAGACGGATGGACGGACGGACGGACGAAGAGACTGACGGACGGACGGAGAGTGACGGATGGACGAACGGATGGAGAAACGGACGGACGGATGGACGGACTGAGAGACGGAAGGGCGAACGGAAGGACGGACGGACGGATGGAGAGACGAACGGACGGATGGACGGATTGAGAGACGGAAGGGCGGGCGGACGGACGGAGAGACGGACAAAGAGATGGACAGACGGACATTATCTCGATGTTGATACAACATTGTCTCAATGTTGTTGTGGACAGACCTATACGTGTACGAAATCCCGTATCCCATAATTACCTAAAATATTCTAGCGCGTCACCGTCACAGTCAAAATTCGGGGAAATATGTATTTCTATGATATATGCACATTGCACAGCTCTTCACTCTTTTCGAGTCAGTTACACTTCACATATCACGTCACACAACCTCGGCCGCCGCTCAGTATCCGCCATCTTCACATCTTGAGCGGTTGAGTCAGGGCCGTGGGGGTTGAGTCGCCTGTCGAGCCTCGCACTCCTGTAACAAAGCGGAGATTCCTATGTAACAACGGTAATAAATTGGGCCTTTGAGTAAATTCAGTTCAGTCATTTTCAGCGCAGATAATAGGTTATGCCTAGATATTTTTGCTATGTAAGTGCATTTAGCATCACGCATGTTCGGTGTACCTATACGTCCTACTACCATGAATCTATTCTTTTATACTTACCGGGCCCTGTTTCAAGTCATGACGCTACATGACGCCACCGGCAGCACTTTTTCTCTTTGCCGCAGCCAGTGAGTGACGACGGTGATCGCCACCATTTTGAAGAGATCACGTTTCAGCGCCAGTTTTTTTAAACATATCACTGCAATAACTAGGATAAATGCACTGATTATCACCCAGCAGAAACTGGCGGAAACCTACATGGTCGGATCGAAAGAGGAGACGCCAGACGACAATGGACACAACACACTCAACACACCCGTCCGCACTCTGCGAGCCGGCACAACGGGACGGGAGACGCGCGGTCCCCTGTCGCCATCTCCCCCTCTCTAGCCGGAGGCGAGGATGGGACCGCCCGCTGCCGGCCGCGTACAGTCTTCAAAACGGTCAGCGGTCGCTAGATTCCAGTCGGTACGGTCTCTGAAAGAGCACAGCGCACGACTGGTGGGAGGGGACCAAGGCACTAACTACCGTGATACTTGAATGGCACCGGTGGCACCCGAATAAAATAATGCCGATACAATGATGCTGCTTAATTCAACGTAGGTTGAGGATGTTATAAAAGGATTTTATGAAGTGGAGCTATCTTTATGTAAGGATCGATTCACTTTATTATAACTCTCTATATATCATATTCAAGACGTACCTATATGCCTATATAAGATACCAAATACGACCATATTCGTCTATTTGGAACCTCAGTGATCCCACCCTAAAGTCCGATTGACGCCTTAGGACCTGTCGAGCCAGCCCATGGGACCCCTTACACCCGAGGGGGCATTTGCCCCCTTTAATGCTGTCAAGTGTCAACACAACTGCGGGGCAATATAGTAATTAAATCACAATGTTGGAACTCTACTTTTATCAATATTGTGAAATCAACATCGTGACAATGTTGTATCAATGTTGAATCACAACGTTGAAATTCTACCTCTGTCAATATTGTGAACTCAACATTGGGACAATGTTGTATCGATGTTGAACTACAATGTTGAACTTCAACCAAGATTCGACAAAGCACAACCAAATATCAACGTGATATCAACGTTGAATCAATGTTGAATTCGTGTTGAAGCACCAATATTGACAATCAACCTGACTTCAACATATCTCAATGTTGTATCAATTACCCGGTTTACATAGCATATTTGACGAGGCTCTAGCTCGTTAATTTGGCGATAATTTCGTTGCAGTGGTCTTCAAATATTTAGAGGGGATCATTTTGTAACTTGTTAAGCACCATTGGCATCTTTTGCAACATCACGGACGGAAATATAAGCTTGCAACAAACCCTATGTAAACGCGTCTAATGTTGTGTGCTACTAGGGAAATGCCGGCGGCCGCGAGAATTTCTCTAGTTTCTGAAGAATTTTTCGGGACCCATGCTCTACTCATACTGGATCCGAATATACGCGCAACGTCTGCCGCACTTTAAGGCTGCCAAATTATTGCTTCCAAATAAAGTCGCTAGTAACAGGGGAGATCCCAAAAAGTAAACAAAAGTAAAAGCCTAATATCTTGAAAACCAGTGAATATTTTTCGGTGAAATTTGGTAGATATTCGTTTTCCGCTCTTTCTGAACCAAGGGACATCACTTTCATGCCAATTCATTAACTTTTTTGAAGGTGGGAGGGTCCCTTTAACGGTAGTGACGATTGTGTAACCCGATGTCTCAGAATCCCAATGATACCCACCTCGTCAAACCTCAACGTATGCCAAATACAGCTGATGTTTGTGATGCCAAGGCCCTAAAAACAGGTGATATGATGCATCCCAAAAGGCTTACCGCCATCTGCCTCAAGTGTATCAAACGTTCGACCTAAGAAACACCGGTTAATCGGCCATGGGTTCATGATACTTTAAGCAGCAAACAATTTTTATACATCGTAGCTCAATGTGACCTTCCAGTTTGTGACGATATTACTTACCTCTGTGAATATGTGCATAAAATGTGCTTCATCAGTCACTGACTTGGTCAGTAATTGACCAATGTCTACTCTGGTTGACCAGAAGGCACCATTGAAGGTCATTTATCATACATACGTACTGTTAGGTGAGCCTTCAGTATACGTACTTGATGCAGTGCGGTAACCGGCCATCCGATACAACATGCCGTAACCTAGGGAAATCAGTATAGAATCAAAACTGTTTGACCTTTTTCTGTTATTTCTTCACAGGTTGATGTGCAATGGAATAACCGATCATGCATGCCATTCATTCAACCATATTGAAAACTGTTTTCCCTTTTTAATGCATTGCGGTGTGTTAAATGCATTAGCGAGCCTGTCTCAAATAGCCCCACCAACTTTCGGCCCATATGTTTTACGCCGCCAGAGACAAACGCAACAACTTATTTTGAAAATTTTACTGTCGTTGACTTAAAAATAGTCCTAGATAATCATCCTGTGATTTTTAAAGCTTAGGGTCGCATCACATTATGACAGCCCAAGCATAAAGTAATGCAATTTTTGACAGACCGAAATGCTATGTTAAACGAAAAACCAAAACTTTGATTATGAGGGTTACATAACTGTATTTGAAAGAAATACTTTTTGGCACAAGTACCAAAATTTAATTTCAATCGCATGGCATTAAAAGAATTATCCCTAGCTTCACCGATCTTCTTCAACTTCCTTGCAACTAAAACTGTCTCAAATAGCCCCACACTATGGGGCTATTTGAGACAGGCTTCAAGTAGAAAAATAAGTTTATTTATGGTTACTAGCTGAACCAAAATGGGCCTATCTGAAAGCAGTCACAGAGAACTACGTTTTTACAATTTACATGCTATAGGAAATATCAACCGTTTTGAAGGGAGAGGCCAAAAACTGTAAAATCCGTTTCAAATAGCCCCACTTTACGGTATCACAGCAAGGGAATGGAGCTGCTGCGGATATATGGCCTCAT